CTTAAGTCCTGTGAATTTGCCACGTTGTTTCGTTTGACTATAGTTAACGTCACGTCAAATACATAGTCAATGTATTTGTTTCTTAGGTTTTTACGCACACCACTCATGAAATTAAACAAGTTTTAATGGATTTGGAGTTTTAATAAATAAATAAATCAGTGCATCTATATCGTTGAAACTTGTTTGATTTACATAGTAAATGTGTTAAATTTTGTCAAATGGTTATTTTCTTCTATAGAATTTTAACTATAATCAAATTTAACTATGCATCAAAGAACGCGACCAAATTATACACATTCTTTGTTATTAACGTGACATTGACTAATAGTTAACTTTAAATATGTTTCAAACAACCCGGCCTTAGTATAAAAATTAAGATAGCTTAATTTGACTTCCGTCAAACCTTACTTATTATTGACTACATTTTATGGATGGATTAAGGAAGATGAAATACACACTACAAGGAGCTAGGCTTGGTTCTAAAAACCGTGGATGGTTTTTAGAACCAAGCGATATAGATCCTTGCTCAGTGGATATAGCTGAACGTATTATTAGTGAAATAAAATAAAGTTGCTATTGCTTCGCTAAACAATTTGCCACTCATTTCGAAGCTTAACTACACAAGAAACAATAATTATAAACACTTTTCCTGTAATTTCCACCGCAGTTAACTACGCCATTATAAGTAATGGCGATAATAATATATTATAATTGCAATATAATATTTCACGTGTTACTCTAATGCAGAGAGCGTGTTAACGCAGCTAGTTCGTTTGCCGGCGCAAGCGCAAGGTGACGACGTTAATGACATAAGCAATAATAAATACGCGACCACATTACAAGAACAGTCGTTATATAATTATTCACCGTTTGTGCCACTTCATACAGAATCGTCTGTTGGGCCCTCATAGTGGGCGAAGGCCCCAGGACAAGCTAATCTTAAATCTCGCATAAATTTGCGTTTAAACGAGATGAAACAATGAAATTACACTGACATTCATTATGCGAACGGTGCGCTGATTATAATAAGCACTCACATGCAGGGTTGTGTTTGTTTCTTAGAATTTGATGTTAATAATGGAGGAAAACATTCGAAACGTCGAAGAGAGCTTCAAGAAGCAAAACAAAGTCAGGAGATTTTATTGTGCCATTAGGTAATGAGTTAAAATATTTGTTAGTATTCACACCACAAAGATATAAAGTGCGTTTTTTTAATCATCACTTTCCTTGAAAGATACCAGTAATTTCAATGATATGATCACGTGCAAAAACTAATTTAATTAATATCTATGTCCTTTAAAGCAAATAAATGTAAGATAAATAGTGAAGAGGTAAAACATTAATACTTTGCAGTGATTAAAAATTATGAAATTTTCAAACAAATGGACTAATGGTCCCAGATGTGAACCTTGAGGAAGTCCTTTGAAATTTATTTATTGACATTATCTCAACATAATTTTAGAGAAACTCGAATTGAATCGAAAACCCTAATCACATCCAGGCCTTATTCCACTTGAGTCAGAAACCGTTCAGTTGTGGGAGGTTGTGATCCGACGAGCTACAATAGGTGTCAAGGGATACCACTTAGATGGCTTTTAATGCGTGAATCGACGTACCAAGTTTCATTTCATAAATAGTTCTAGATTTCATGTGATCCTTTTGATTCCTAACTATCTAGAAATATTTAAACTAGCTACATTTATACTCTACTTTTAAGTGGATATTTTATATTAAAAAGTAAAAAGTCAATAAACATTAAACATTTTAATTTGGTCAATATATTTATTTGATGAAATGGCACACGTACAAGGGTAACTGAATCTTGTGTTTCAGTAAAATGGTTTAATATATTTAGTTGGTGTTGGAAATACAACGTGAAGTCCTTCATAATATATAAGGAAATCATTAAAATTTGTTTCACGCATTCTGTGGAGACCTAGTTACTACTAGGTTAATGCTGAGATGATAATGAGCTATGCTAGTAAGTCTCACACTCACATAATTTATTATTAATTCAAAGTAACCCTAACAATATGTAAATTTATCTAATCAACTAGTTCAGTACCAATCCAGATTCGATTCCGGCAGCCCTACTGCTGTCGCATTAGTTTATAAGCCATCTATTTAAGTGCACAACATCGTAAATCATGAATATCATGTACTGACATTGGCGATATCTCAATAAAGCTGATGCACTCAGTACTCCTGGCATCCGGAGCTTCCTTGTTGATAACGCGGCAATTCGCCGCTATCTTAATTTATCTTTGTTGCTCAGGCCCAAGAATTACTCCTCCATCTTGGGAACAAGTTAATAATATCGATTTATGAGTTTCGTCTTGTTTAAGAGATCAGAGTTACCATGTGGATTGACCAATGTTTACATCGCTGTTAATACAATGACACTGCTTTTCAAAAACAAATCAGTCCTGGAATTCTTTATTAGAACAATAATACTAAATAAGCCTCATTTTATTTTTGTATAGACTATTACTTTTAAGTTGGCCCTCCATCAATATTTATCAATGTTATTTTTTTCGAGCAAGTAATAAGTGATATGAAAGTGCGAAAAATTTGTGGCAAATTCAAATATATTGGAACGCGACAAAAGCAGTTGTTACGTAAATCTATAACAAACGTGGTGTTCACAGGATATGCCAATGTCAACGAGATTATGTAGGTTTAGATGTATCGTGACGTCACATCCAAGCGTTCGAAAATAGCGCGCGTTTAAACGACTTATCTTTCATTTATACTGTATAAAAAATGTGTAAACTACTCAATAATAATATAAAAATAAAATCATGCATATACCGCATTCCTTCTAGTTATACAATTGTTATTCTCTCGCACGAATTGACGAAACCTCATGCTCATTGACGATGGCCGGTGTTAATGTAAAACAATTTAGCTGCAAATTTCAATCCTTCACATACCTAGTTGAGAAACAGCAAATGCGATTACCAAGATGGACGTTTTCACACGGTAACTGTTTCGACACTGGGCTTCCATCCATTGACGACCGCTGTAGGCAACCGATTTTACCTAATTGCTGCCAATTAATCGCTTGACTTTATCACGATAAACGTTTATTTAACGTCTTGTAAATTACGCGTCACTTTTGCTTGTTGCGTCACATGGAGCGGTGTCGGACGGACGGCCTCAGGGGTCGGATGCGTGCGAGACGAGTCAAGTGCAACATTAAGGAAACAGAAGTTACATAATACAGGTGTAATGTTATAACAACATTCAGTTTTCCGCAGATTAATTCCGCTAGTCCTTGACAAGTATTTCCTAATCGTTGTGATTATTCGGAATAATCATTAGAATAATATTTTGATTGAAAACTTTGCATGTCTCCAGTCGAGTAATAAGGCTGAAACCTGTTTTATTGTATCTGACACGGTCTTGAGCAACGAATGATTTGTGTTAGCACCTAGACTGTTAGCAAGTCCGTTACCGCCAACATTATTAACTTTGTTTAATATTGTTTAACCAATTGAGAGTTGTTCGTGCGTGCAAGAGTATCTGAGTCGCATTTCCAACAAATAGGTTAAATTACCTCTACTACACGAGTATTAGGGCAAACTACCGGATTGTCGGCACCACTCAATCGTGCAGTTGTCACGTACGAGCTGGCACGCTCTGCGCCATATCTCGTGATCTTCGCGGGAGTGCCTTACTAAGCCAAAACGTTAATTATGTCGATTCCACTATGATACAAAGTGGCATTTAACGGTTTAGAATGTCAAAATCAGTGAGCTTATACAAATACTTCTTAACTCGTCATTTAACAGTACAGCATTCAATGGTAGTTGAATTTTTTGCTTTGACTTCAACTTAGTAACATTATTATATAATTCCCAATGTGAGAAGGTCTACAGGGTAGAGAAACGGTGGCATTCAGAATAAATATATCTCTACACAACATATAAATAGCTTGTATACATTTCTGTTATGTCCGTTGTCTGTTAAGTAAAAAAAAAATACTCTGAAGTGACACAAATTTATTTAACCTGGTTCTAATTCACATTCATTATGTGAGAGAATTCATTCGGAGCTATTGTAATCTGCTTTTGCAATCTTCGTCCACGGTCAAAGCCTACAGTGAAATGTTTGACAGACAATTTGAAAACCAATTTAAGCCGACAACAGAGCGCAAGGTCTCTTGCACAAAACAATGGTACAACATAATCGTGTGTTTGCTGCATTCGATGTTCTGCGGATCTCTTAGTTGAATGGAGTACTGCAGCATTCGCAGCTATCAACGTGTTCAGCTTACATTATCTGCTAAGCCTAATAGGTTAATTGTGCTGGCATTAATTGCGGAATAGGTGCCTACGGACATGCGCAAGCGACGATAGTCATCTGTAGCTCTGTTCAGTTCGGTTCGTATTGCTATATCAATAATTCGGCATCAGTAAATTTTAGTGGTGTTACTCATACAATTTAGATTGAAATCGGAGCTGTTATGTGAATTTATTTAATATTCTCTCGTCCTGCCTGATATGGAATTACTGAGTGCATAAACCTTATAACTGTCTACATGGGTATCGAATTAACATAAAGTGAATGGGTTACATTTGTAGAAACCCGTGTTTTATATACAATAAACATGATACGTGAGCCTGCAGCCCTTTATTACATGTAATTTGTTTTATAAACACGTTATTATTCTGAAGATTCTCAATTGGTAAACTCACGCAAGAACCATTTCTGAAAAATTTTCGTCTTGGAATCACTCCTACGTCAGCTCCTTAAGTTAGCGGTGCATTCACAGCTTCTATTGTTGCACTAGAATGGCTAATGACATTCTCAGCTAATTAATTAAGGGTCACTGCATGGTAATCGGGTTCAGTAAATGGTTACGTGGCCATTAGCAATAATTAAATGCAATATTCAGAGAACCATGGTATACTGGCAGTTGTAATCAAAGCCACAAGCTTTGATACTAAATGACTAGAACTAAATTGTTTATTGAATGGTGTTTTTGTTTGTTGCAGAGATGGCAGCGGAGGTGGTTCGTCCTATACGACGATGGGGAACTAACATACTCCCTGGACGAGCACGTAAGTTTAATATTTTTTTAATCGCCATAAATGATACAAATTAAAAAATAGCAGGACTTCTGAGTAATAACTATTACGACCTAATAATAACACGAGGATAATAAAACCGCGAATGGGTTAATTGGTTTATGGGTATTCTTTTTTAATAAATACGCATACTACATGTACAAAATAAATTTCATAAACCATCACTAATAGCCATATCGTGTACTGCCACAATATATCATAGACATGTGAGTCCATTTTAAGTAACAGTGCTGCAATTGTTCGGGTAACTCGCCAAATAATTGACTCGTTAGTGGAATAGCTACCGGTAGACTATGTCGTAAATATTCAGTTAACTTAAGTCTGTAAGTAACTTATTTATTGTATAGACTATTGTAGTCTCTTTTGCTAATAAACATTTCAAATTATACCGGCAGTACAACTCGAGTTAATAGCAAGAAGTAGGAACATAGAATTTTCTATCTAAAAAATGTGCATGCAGATTTCTCCGCTTATATGGATGTGTCTTGTAATATCCTAGATTTAACGAGACAAACGTATATTGAACCATAACGTAATATTCTTTAGTGCTGTAACAATACGGAACAGTTTTCTTTGCTATATTTGGTACGTTAACTATGAGTAACGATATTGTAGTCACGTCGGCAGCTCTAGTGTCCTTACTTACAAAAACAAACATCACCAATTCTGAAACCGGCCACTACGAACTGGTTGCCGTAAGACTCGATTTCATCGCCACTTCGCGTATGAGTATCATACCTTCCACATTTTCCTTGGTAGTCATAAATATTCATAATAATTGCCGACGCGGCGATTTCAAGTGGTCACATTTTTTGATCACTAAACGAGTTATGATTCAGTAGAGTGGTTTAAAATCGGCTCATAATTGTTGGTAGTGTAATGCTAACAATGATTAAATGAACAATACAAAGAACTCTTCACTGCATATTTTGCTGTGACCCTCAAATTTATGATAAGAATTCAAAATTCACGTATACAAACGATTTTATTTTTCAATCAACTACCCAATTATATAAGTGCAACTAACCTTTGGTTTTCATAAGTTCACTTGGATAATTTACTTATATTTTTCTGTTCTCATACAAATTATGAAATTTGTCATTTTGTGTATAAAAACCACTTACTGAGTAACATTTCTCAATGTTAAACTCATTGTCCATCGGAAACATAATATTCCTAAACTAGGGCACAAACATGAAGCTGGACACATATCTATTTATATCCATTTGCACCTCGTTATCATGTGAACAGAGCGAGAGATAGCAGTGCATACAGGTCGCCTCTAAAATATGGAGGGAAGTCGTAAAGTCAGCACACGTGTCTTTTTGAAGAGAAAGCTGCAGAATTAATTGCAGTTAAAGGTTTATCCACTTTATTAAGTAGTCTCTAGACCTCTTGTTTGAACAATAAAATATATGAAAACGTAATCGTAAATTTAGAGTTAAGTACTAACTCCTTTTGTAATGGAGTGAATATATTATATTGAAATCCGTTATTGAATGTTAATTCTCGTGTTGTCTTTGTATGTTTCTTTTGCTCGTCTTAAGATATTTTGAAAATAATCTTCATTAACTTAATGTCTGATCTTCAATTATGTAATAATTATTTTATAAGATGATGCTTTCTTATACGAATAAGGTTAATATTAATAGCTGAGAACTCTATCTACACATTAAATATCACTAAAATTGTGCAATGGTATATTTAAATAGATAAGGATTCCCATCAACCTTCACTTAAGTGTTTTACAAAAACTGGTGCTTTAGTTGAATTCGTGAAACCAACAGTTGACAGTATACTTTGTTTTATATCTTCCGCACCATAAAGATGCAAACGGCGTCGCCCACGAGCCCCTAGCTGAACTGTCTTCCGTAAAGTAACGTCATAGAGGTTTTGCATATGCATATTGCAGGATGGACTTATAAATTAATGTGAGAGCTTATGAGAAATGCGGAAACGAATTTTAAATAGGTCTACTTGGTCCTGGTGTGGGTGCTGTTCCATTTCAACCTTCGTTGCATCAAGTTATTATTTATGAGTTCGACTAGTTATGATTTATTAATTCTAATTGTCAGCATTATCATTTCGTTTTAAGGTGCAAATGCTTGCTACTTTGTTTATCTAACAACTGCAACGATATCCACAAAAAAAACCTGAGTACAAAAATTTGCAGGCCATTTGATTTTTGTGTTTCTAACATTGCATTCCAAACATTGCAGTAAAATAAAATTACTTGCTCAACTACACGCAAACAATGTTCATAACAAAACTCTTAAGCTATTTTTATGTAAAACTATAATACTAAAGGCATATATTTAAAATATTCATTTTACTGATTTTAAAAGCGGCGTTTCGCAAACGTTTTTCTAGTAAATCGATGCATGCGTCAGTAAGAATGAAGCCCCAGTTTTGTATTGGATTAAAACCTTACAAGTTCACTCGATTAGTAATGCGAGTGACCCGAATTAGTTGCGAATAATACCCAGTGACATAAGGCGTTATTTCATCGAATAACCTAATCATCCAAATGATTATTTGTTTGCAATATTCCTAAATGCCACATTGGGTCAGTTCTGTTTGATTCTGACCAACCGCTTCGAGCGTCAAACAAGCGTAATGTCCTTTCAAATTACAGCAATTTATCATTGCTTTGCAATTTTCAAAAGACACCAGTATTTTTGACCATCGCTCTGAGCTATTCTCTGTGCAGTAATTTGTCTTGAGAACCCCGTGGACAGAAAGTTGCGTCCTTAACGTCAATAAAAGAATAATTTCCTTGTTTAAATTTAAATAAAGAACTGGCCACGGTGACAGTGCTTAATTGTAACAGAGCTCTGTTCCAACGTCTGGCATGTGCCAATTACTGTGTGCTTTACCCTAATCCGTGCCCAAGGGGATATTCGAATTTCGAACGGTCTTGTCTCGAGGAATTATTGTCGGTAATTATAATCGAACTGGTTTATAATGTGCTCGCCTTGTGTAGGTAGATGTTTGCTTTGATCGTATCTTTGCCACAAATTATTATCGTAATTGCTGAGCAATTAGTGCTTGTATTGTTTTTACATTGATTTTTATCGAAAAGGCATGCGTGTTGGCATTGACTTTTCTGGGAAGTTTTTGCCTTAACTTTTTTCTTGATAGAACGAATTTGTCTACCAAGCAAAAATCTACAGCTTTTCCGTTTGGTGTTTAGATTTAATTCGTTAAGTTTTCTAAATTATTAGTTATTGTATCCCGGAAATTGAAAGCAGTAATCGTAATAGACACAGATGAGGTAAGTCCTACTGACGATAAAACTGTAATGTGTAGTTACTTAACACAATAATGTATCGAAGATCATTTCATCACGTGTATTAATGACGGAGTTACGGCGCGTGCGCCCGCACCCGCGGTCGGCGACGGAATGCGGCCGTGGGTTGTGCAAGATGCGCCCGCGCCGCACCCACGGCGATTCACCTGCGCCGTCGCTTCCATGTACTCCATGGGTCACACGAATAACTTATACTACCACCGAGACATGTAACAATCTACTTATTCAATAACTACAAAAATCTAAAGAAAATATAACTAGAAAAAATTCCACGCGGACCAGGCAGCAGGCGGGACTCGAACCCGCACCCTTCGCAATCCGGGCGAATGCACTGACCAATTATGCTACCGCGGCCCTCACGGACCGCGTCGAAATTCTTCTAGCCATTCTTAAGCTGCAAGGCAGCCCCATCTCTTCGCATTATAGGTAACCCACAATGTCAAATTAATACTTTTACAAGTATTAAACAATTGAAAGAAGAAATAGCAATTATAGTTATAATTTTTATTATTTTAAAGCATGTAACTGCTTGATGTTTAAATCTAAAGAAAAAGTCCCGTCTGCTGCCTGGTCCGCGTGGAATTTTTTCTAGTTATATTTTCTTTAGATTTAAACATCAAGCAGTTACATGCTATAAAATAATAAAAATTATAACTACAAAAATGTTAAGATAATATTAATAAAAAAAATCTACTCGGTTCAGGTAGACAGAAATCGGAACATGCGCTTCCCACTATCCGTGCGGAAATCAGTAGTATCATCTTCAAAAACAATATTAAACAACTTACAAAAATTATGTAGGTTAAAGTAAGGCTAATAACCTGTGGTAACCTTAGATTAAAACAAAAAGGGTAGATACGGCACTAGCCTCACAAAAGTGATCCGCATAAATTGTGGTCGTCGTCGGCAAACGACGTACATGTGAACGCCAAAGAGAAATATTGATAGTGTTTATATGATAAAGCAATGCCTAAGTGTGTTTTTAAAAAGTGCTCAAATTGCTCAAGAACTAAAAATAAAACCCACGGCATCACTTTTCATTTGTAAGTACTATAAAATATATTTTTTCATAAAAATTTCTGTTTATTTTTAATCTTATTCGGTAGAGTACTGGTCGCGTGATTGGTCGGTAGTGCAGTGACGCGGATCTCGCCGTCTCGTTCGCGCTGCCGTTGAAACTTAACGTGCTGTTTCGTTCGGGTCGGTAATGCAGTGGCGCGGATCTCGCCCGTTCGCGCTGCCGTGGGATCAGTTTTTGTTTGATGCAAGTATGAGTGTACCGTATCTACCCTTTTTGTTTTAATCCAAGGTGGTAACAAGCACAACCAACGTCGTGGACTCGCCATAATGGTTAATTTACGTTACAACTTCCGATCACACGTCATGATGTAACAACCAACTACACTTGCGATCCCATTACGTGCAAAATGAAATTTTTTGCCGTATCTTATTACGTTCGTCCTGTCCTGTCCTGTCCTGCCTTAGTAGAGATATTTTTGAAAAATTAGAGTACTTGTGTTACTCTTACTTGTGGTAGTTGTATTGCAGCTACTATAAAATAAAAGCCTTTATCCAGTCCAGAGTCTACTCTAAATGAACCTACAATATTATGAATCACAGTGTTCCTTTGCAAGGACATCTTTGTTTGAGATAGTAATTTGAA